ATTTATTATATTATAATTTCTTATAATTGTGAAAAAGTGTCAGGCAGGGCACTGGACAAAGCTCTAGGGACAAAATTGAAGTGAAATAGTTTGATACATAAGTGTAATCATAGCAGATTACATTGTATTGTGTGTATTCTGTGTACATTACAACTTTTCACTTTTGAGTTTCCAAACTGCTGATCTGATGGGGTAAATCTTCCAAAGTGATCATCTGTTCCAGTGACAACTGTCTAAAAACCGGAGACTCTACAGATTTCATTCACTTTCTGTTGCATCTCCAAGACAGGAAGTTAAGGGAAAGCTCCACAGGGGCATAAAGAGTAGAAAAAAAGAGAAGTGTTTTAAAAAAATGTTTTGGCTTTACATACCCTTTATGTAGAAATAAAATATATTGTTTACCTGCAGCTCTACAGCCTGAAAACTACATTGGCAAGTGCAATAGACAAACATAAAAGTCCATTACTGAGATAGCTAGGGGTTAAGGGATAGGGAAGAAATAATGTGGTGTGTTAAGTTAGGACAAAATATCAACTTTAACATGTATAAGATAGCAATAGCAATAGCTGTGTTAGTTATGCTTACAAAGTGAAAAATTAGCATGGATGTATTGTTTTTATGTGCTTTAATGGGGCCATGTTATTATTTCATCAATATGTTTGAGTACACTAATTTTTAGTTTGTAGTTACAAGATGGGGGTTAGTTGAGAATTGTCTGCCCTAATTATGATGTGATGGGTAGCTTTATTCCAACTGAGTGCTGCAGTTGACCTCAATTACAGAATCATTTTGCTTACTCATATGTTAGTTTATTAAACAAGGCTTAATGTATTTTTCTTGTAACTCTTGCAAAAATAGACTTTCAAATTAATATAATATTGCTTACTGTATTTCTCTGTTGTGTGATTTAACATTGCTGTAATTATTTTCTGATTTAATAAATACCACTTTAAACAAACCTCTAATGCCTTAATGCACTTAGGGAACTGCAACATTGCAGATAGGTAAGTTGCAGTTAAAAAACAAAAAATATTCAAATCCAGCATTTCAGAATCACCAAGCCATCACCACATGCCTTGAAAAAAAGGTATTTTGATCATTGTAAAAATCTGCATCTGTAACGTAGATCTAAAACCCTAACTGAATGCCATTTGCTAAAATACTGTGTATTGAAAATAATATGATTTAAAAAAAAATTGTGTTTTATTTGTATTTCATTGTTTTTGCATATCAGTGCTACTGATCTCCTCCATCCTCTTTTAGCCACTTCCTGTCTACATACACTCATTCCAATGTCAGCTGCATATAATTGTTCTGGATTGGCTTCCTGTTGGCAAAATGGTAGACTATCAGGGTTATTCCCAAAAGGGTGAAGAGGTTGGAGAAGGCAGGAGAAGTGAACAATCTAGGACAACATAGCTGATTTGGAAAAATCCTCCAATTCAGCTCACTTTCCAAATCAGCTATGTTGTCCTAGATTGTTCACTTCTCCTGTCTTCCCCAAACTCTTCACCCTTTTGTGAATAACCTTGTATGTCTGCACAATATGTGTTGGCAAGGCCATTTGTAGGCTCAGCCAGGGGATGTGACAGGCTGACAACACAGGGGCACAATTGTGAGACAGTTGTCACCCCATAGCAGTAAGTCTCTGAACAAGACCCCTCATGGTATTGTCATTAGGTATTATTTTTGTGAATATAAGTTTGTTATATAATTGCAGTAATTTGCATATGTAAAGAGATTAAAAACAACACTTGCAGTTACTGTAAAGGAGAATCTTGGGGAGACTGGAAAATACTCATCCCCATAATTACAGCTGAAGTGTCACACTGAAGCTGTCACACATCGGTCTAGTGATCAGGAACTGAGTGATCACATCCCGCCGATCACTCGGTTCCAAATCATCTCCCTGCAGAGAGCAGGGATTCCGTCCCCCCCTCCCTGTTCCTCCATTGCTGACTGGAGGAATGGATGGGGGAGGAGCGGGCACAGCTGGCTCTGCTTCTAGAGTAGCAGAGACAGCTGTCAATCAGGCAGCAGGGTGGATCCCAACAATATTGTCGGGATCTGTCCCAGCTGCAGCGTGGCTCTGCGCTGTCAGCATATAGTGGGCAATAGCCTGCTATATGCTGAGTTTTGGTTCACAGGAGGTCATTAGTATGTGTCCTCCTGTGACCCTAAAGAGAACTATGGCAAAAAAAAGGTTGAGCCATAGTTTTCGTTTAACATATTAAAGCTTATATGAGATTCTAGTGAATGGGTTTAGATCTTCTCTAATAAAGTTTATCTTATAACTGCTACTTACCTGGCATGCTGAATTTCTACACTGTAGTTGTGTTTTATAATGGAGACATTTTTGCTTTAACCTATGTTCACTTCAGATACTGTGAATGGAAACCTCTCTTGTATTATTTTGTCTCTGAGAGGAGAATAAGATTCATTGTGGGAAATGTATCAAGGAGCAGACAAAATCTGGAGCAGCTGTACATGGCAACCAATAAGCTTCTCTCTTTCATTTTAAAATCTTAACTGAACAAAGAGAGAAGCTGATTGGTTATCATGGACAGCTGCTCCAGATTTTGTCTGTTCCAGTTTTGATAAATTTCCCTCATTGTAGATTAGTAAAACAAAAAAAGTCTGTTAAAATATATAAATAAATCGATTAGTGTTTGACCCAGGTTAATATTGGTGTCAGTGTTAGCATCAGTGTGTTTTTAAACTAGTGTCAGGATTTTATATTTACAAGGTTATTTACTAAAGGGTGAAGAGTTTGGAGAAGGCAGGAGAAGTAAACAACCTAGGCCAGAATAGCTGATTTGGAACAAAATCTCCAATTCCAGATCACTTTCCAGTTCAGCTATGTCTGTCCTAGATTCTACAGTTCTCCTGCCTTCTCCAAACTCTTCACCCTTTTGTGAATAGCCCTGTTAGTGTCAATTTTAAATTTGTTAAAGTTGTTTATCCTTTGCCGATTCCAATAGTTTTGCCATTATTCTTTGTATATTAGAGTCTCCTTCATCCTGTTACCTCATAACAATTGTCATTATGTCAATATACTTGGGACCATAGTCTCTGTGTGCCACCAGACAATGCCACCGTGTGTATAGGAAGGCGCCTGGAACTGAACAGCCACTGAAGTACATTGAGGAGTTCCCTGGGCAAAATTTAACTATTCTCACTAGGACCAAATACCATCTTAAGACAAGTTTCAAGTTAGTTTCAAGTGCAAAGAGTGTTTTAAAAATAGGACTTAGTAGTGGACCATGTTGGTGCCCACATATCTTCTCACAGAGAATAACCCAATTCAGCATTCCACTTCATGACATAGGAGGTGATATGAAAGTTAGATTCTATAGTAGATCATCCTGGCATATAAAAATGGATCCTGAATATCTCAGTTTTGGAAGTAATGAGGAAGAATTTTCTGATCTGAAGATATTAGAAACATTTGGTGGCAGGGAGTTTATATTTGTTCTGAAAGTACTGGAAGGTTTTTATGCCATCAAAGGAGTAGAATTTATACAGATGTGTATTGTTGGAATAAATCCAATGTTTGAATGATTCTGGGGAGTCAGTGCAGCGGCAAAGGAGATATTGAATAGATAGGATAAAAGTAGGAGGTGCGGCAAAATCAAATCAGAATCCCAAACTTTGAGGGAGTAAAGGGTAATGGGTTTTTGTTTACTTTATACCTGTCCTTCAGTAGGAGCAACAAAGTGTTAATTAATCTAAGTGGACCAATTTTCATTGCATCTATACTTACCCAAAGGGGAGCTTTGTAAGTGGAGTGGTGTTTGGGCAGCTGACTAATTTGGGCAGCTAAATAATATTTTGAGAAATTTAGAATACACAGACCTCCATTAACCCTTGAAAGGTAAGACACCTGAGTGGATTTTCACTGCAGAATGAAATAATTTATATTTAATCCAGGCCACAAGGAGTGTTTTAGGCGTAGTAAACATAGTGGGGAAATTTGCAGCATGAATCAGTTAACAATATATAGGAAATGAAAGTGTTGCATTATCAATCATCAATTTAGAAACAAAGTCAAAAGTAGCAAATGTGCCAAGCAAATTAGGCAAGCAGATGAGAGGGTTATTTAGAAATAATAGGGCATCATTTGCAAAGAGGCATAGCTTATATGAGATTCTCACAAGATCAAGACCCTGAATATCAGGGCAAGTACTTATCATTTTCACCAGGGATCTTATTGCCAGAACAAAGAACAAGGAGCACATGGGACAGCCCTGTCTTGTTTCTTTCAGGAGAACCTACTGAAAGAATTGGACTTAAAGCCCATATTTGTACAAGTATACTTGGATGATGATACCCAATTTATAAAATCAGGTGATCAGTGCCAGTTTTAGTGTCTGTGTGTTGAGTTAGAATTAAAAAAGCAAAAGCACACACTTATGAATATGGGCTCTGTCATGCGTATATACAACAAATAAAACACACATCTGCGGTATCACCATGAGTAGGTGAATTTATTTTGGGTTTTTTTCCAGTTTTTTTGTGGTGGGAAGAAATATACATGTAAAAATAGTTTGGTAGTTGCAAATATGTGCAGTTTTACTAACACATGTATAGGTTGCAAAACTGGGTTAAAGCTTTAAGATTTGTTTTTACCTTTGTCATTAAGGGGTTAGACTGATGGGGCTCAAGCAATTCTGATATTTCTTTAGTTGTTCTTTTTTAACTTGCTAAACAGGAATACAAATATGCGCAAAAGTTATATTTAAAGAATTTAGCCAAATCACTCCTGAATCAAATAATGTTTTTCCTGAAAAATGAAAAAGTGGTAAAAGTTGTAAAAACATGTAGTTTTGATAGATATTGTGTGATATTAAGTTTTCTAAATATTTCTTAATGTTTTATTTAGTGTATTATATCTATTTGCAATGTAAAATATTTATGTTTTTCATTGTAGGCATGTATACTGGAGAGACAAATATTTGACTTCTTGGGCTACCAGTGGGCACCTATCTTGGCAAATTTTGTTCATATCATTATTGTCATTCTTGGATTATTTGGAACCATCCAGTGCAGAACACGATATATAACAGGAGTAAGTATGTTTATAATTCTTTGTAAACAAAAACAAACTATGATTTGCTCACTTCCAGATTTAAAAAAATCCTGACAAATGAAAATAAAAAATAGTTTTAAGATTTCAGTAGATGAAGGGTAGACATTTACCTAAAGTGAACCTGTGGTTTTCCCATGTAGTTTAAAAACATGTTTACTTTAATGTTTGTCCCTTGAGCAGCTTATATTCACCCTCCCTTTACGCCTCAGCTACTATGTTCACTAATCGAAGTGAGAAATACCCTGTACTTTTGAATATGTATGACTCACTTATGTAATCTATGTAATCTCTGACTAGGATTGATTTGGAGCTGAAACAGGGTATTTTCTTCTTGTATCCAGCAGTAAACGAAGTGGTAAACTGCATCGTGGTAACTCACATAATGGGGTCTATTCACAAAGCTGCCGAGGGCAGCCGAGTGAATGACCGATCAGAAGTGAAGTGAAATAACGGCAATGCACTTTACCAGTAACATGTTGTTGTTTTTTACATGCACAAAGCATAGCTTTACTATAATGTGCAACCCGTAACTTGCTGTATTATATTTATGTTGTAAAGGACCTTCAATTCAATGTAAAATGCTATCTTAGAAATGCTCAAAAACAGTGACATTGAATTTAAAACAAAATAATGAAAACATTCATTATTTAACATATTTCTGTGGAATAGATGACGAAATTAATTTTGGGATTGGATGCAAAAAATAATGATGAGAACATAAAGGAATATATACAATATAGATGATACAATCTTTGTTTTTTAGAGTTGAATACATTTTACAAAAGAGAGTACATATATTTTAATACCATTATTTTTCCTATATTTAAAGTATACCTTCACTGCTGTAAAAATAAATAATCTCCTGATCAGTTATCTATCTAAGGGGTTTTAGCAAATCATTACAAAGCCCTGCTACTGCGTTTCTATTAAAACCAACACATGGATTTCACTCATTTCCTGCTGCCACTTCCTACTGCTTGAGTGCTAGATGGGAGGGTATGTCTGCTAAAGTCACATGACCAGTTCCAGTGTTTTTCTGAAAAACGCTGTGTGTCAATAACATTAGCAGGAAAGTTTGTTTCTGTTTTTTTATTCACAAACAGCATGCATAATGTACACTTGGTTGCCTTGGTGACAAGTAAACCAGATTTGAATTTCTGGCACTTTTTGGAAAATCATAGCTGACTTCAGAGTGAAATAGAAAGTTCATATTTTATTAACAGCAACTGACAAACCTGCTGGTGTAGCAATTATACATGTTATATTTTTTAACTGGAGTTGAGGATTCCTTTGAGCAGTAATGCATTAACTGCCCTTTAGCTTTGCTACAGACTGACACTCAATATGTATGTAAATTCAAAAGCATTCCCTCTTGGGGTATATTAAAGCTAGGTAGGGTGATGCTGGCACCAGAACCATCCCACTTTTGTGAACATCCTATACCTATCCCTGAGGACAGTTATAATCAAATCTGTGTCAGGTTGAAAAAATAATCCATAAGTATTTAGTTTTCCTAAAGGTACATTTCTCTCTGGTTTAGAGTTGCAACATTGCTGATAGTGCCACCCACCCCCTATCCTTGTGATGCCTAAGTAATACCTTACAACTGTTGCTTAATGAATCTATAGCACTGTGGATGATGTATTTTAGGGGGAAACCTTTTCTGAGACAAACATGGAGGCTGCTGTTGCTGACTTGAGGTTCTGAAAATGCCTTGTTGCCATGCTGACAATACTTTCAGGGTGATATGATAAAGCTTTTGCAACAATTTCCTGGCATTTGGGCTGTCTCATGGAGCCTTGCTCCATAGTCAGAAACGTTATTTGAATAATATAACCAAAGCATGCAACAAATTTAAGTAGCTCTTATTAGCAACAGTTTTGCATTATGTTGTTATTGGCTGCAACATATTCATATAGAAATACCACCATTTCAGACGTAAGAAATCTTGCAGTAAATAAGACCTAGTTCACCTTGCTATAATTTTTTTCCTCATTGTGCCCCCCCCCCCACTCAGTGTCCTGGCTCAGTGTCCCAGCTTAGTGTCCCCCTCCAGGTCACTGGTTGCTTGGACATTGGCAGCTGGGCAACCTGCATCCTAGTGACCAATGAGGCTGTGTGGCTGAGCACCATTGGTTGCTAGGACAATGACAGCGTCATCACACGGCTAGCTTGGTTGCTAGGGTGCTGTCTGCTGCACAGTGTTATTAGTTGCTAAAATGCAGATGGCTGCCATAAAAAGCTGGCAGGCATCCTAGAAAAGATGCAACAGAATTGGCACATTCTGCCAATTGTGGTGCATCTTTGCGGCAAATTCTGACATTTACATGAATCTGTCCCACTCATCAACATTTGTTGTACAGTGGCTTAGCAACTTTTCTAAAAAGTGTCTGTACCATTTTTTATGAAATTCAGGGTTTGAGTCACAGACCTGGGCCCAAATATGCAGACAAGGACTTCAAAGCCTTCAGTTATTTATGGTTAGGAGATTGTCTATTTTGGAGATTTGCTGTAGTTGTTTTCACCTTCATTTGAATTGTTTTTCTGTTGCATTCTCTAAAATTAATTTAAATTTCAGCAAGTATTTAGTTCTATAATGCCACCCAAAGTATATTTACTAGGATCACATACTAATTACTATATTTTTGGTAGGCTATTGCATAAAATAATACTATTGCCTCACCAAAACCATAAAGGCAATTTAGGTTTTATTGCATGGATAGCATCACAAAAACTATGCTCATTGTAATTTTAGACAAGCTGATAGCTACTAATTTGAATAATATTAATCATACTAGAAACTGTGAAGTACAAATTCAGTAGTGATACATTTATTTTTTTACACATGCAATGTGAATTGTTTAGTAATGTGTTTGTGTAGTAATTCCCACTTCAAAATTGCTGTAGCCTTTCCATATTTTTTAAGCAACCCATTAACATGCAATACCTTTGTATACTTCACTGGCTTCATAGTTTATATCAATGAAAGATATCATACTAAAAGCTATGGACACAACAGCCATCCTCCACTGTGCCTTCAAGAGTGGCACCTGAGACGACCTCCTTAAATGGCTTTATCGGCAGCATGGCCCTGCTGAGTGGTACAGTAAATGATTAGAAAACATTGCCAGGGACTGCCCATACAAAACAGGTGAAATGTGCCTAAAGCATATCTAAAGGTAAAGCATTTTTTTTTAGTTTTCAATAGAGTTGGGTAGGCCTATGTCAATTTTTGTTTATTGCCAAGTCCCCACTAAGGATTCAAACTTTGTATTTGTCCTGATGACCACTGTCACTGGAAGTGAGAGAAAATCCAAACTTTGAGTTGTCACTGGAACAGAAAAAGAGTGGAAATCTCCCAATGGGGACACCTGGTCCTGCCTGAACTGTATAAAGTCGGGTATGCACGCTTCTATTTTCTTCGTTCAACCTGCCGGCTGAATGAAGAAATCTCCTGTTGTCTCCTCTGTATTCTGAGAGTGGCCATTCAGCCGACAATTTTCCGACAATCTCCTTTGATCAGCTGGTTTTGGTTGGAAAGGTGACGACAGCGGCACTCACACATCAAATTTCATCCAGTTCATCAAGAATCGGTCAAGCGGTCAAAATTTGAAGTCTGGCTTAAGAGGGGAATTACCTCACTTTGGAGAGATATCCTCTCACTTCATGTTGTCTTTACAAGTAGAGAGATCTCCACAGTAGGACAAACATGACATAAAAAAACATGACAATGGGTTTTAGCCATGTCCATCTCGATCCAAAACAAACAAAAAAAATTATACATTCATTTTGCGCCCAATTTATAACTAAACAATTGTAAATATAACATTACATTTTTTTTTTCTATCGTACAGTATGCACATACTGTACGATAGAAAAATGTGCGAAGGTAATAAACTTCCTTCCACTGCAAACATAAGAGGAAGAAAACATTCTTGCACAATGATTATTGGAGTATTAAATGGATACACATACTTCCCTAGGCATCCTGCCTAGTGCCTCCTGTCCTGCCATTAACCATTTTGATGCCAAGGCCATTTTTGCATCAACATGTTATACACCACATTATATAACATTATATATTATCTGAAAGCAAAGACCCTGTAGAATAGAATGTTGGCAGTTGCATATGTTTACGTTGTATGATATTAGCACAACTCTTTATCAAACCCAACATTTTTGTAAAAATACACTCAATTAATTAATACATTTAATTTTAGTGGCGAAAAACACAATATAATACCCATTTTTTTTTAATATAAAAGATGAAGTTACGATGATTAAATAGATACCCAGGTTAAAAATTGCATGTGTCCATAAAACGGCAACAAAATACTTTACCTCAAATTGTCCATAGGTGACGCTTTAAAAGCCTGTACAGGTCATCAGTTTAGAGATATCTGTTACTTTTATATTAAATATTTACTACTCAGATCCGTAATCTCCATGTGGAGATATCTGGCCCTAGAATTATTTCTCACTGTGACACACGGGGCAATTCCAAACATGTGTAGCGAGATCATCGTTTTGGTACGTAGGCTCACCCAACATGTGTTTTTGTTAATACGCATGCATTTGCGGGGCTGAGGACTTTAACATTTTAAAAAAATATTTTTACATTTATTTTATTTGATATTTTTTAAAAACTTTTTTTTTTTTTACTTTACTTTATTGCTATCACATGCTGTAAGGTGACAGGTAATCAGACAAAACAATAGACCCATGACAGAAATGTAAAAATTGCCCCTGTCCATAGAAGGTATACAGGTGTAAGAGCTGAAGTAGTTCATCCTATGTGTTTTCCTCTTTGCTTCTAAAGCAGAACTGAACCCTGAAAATAAATTGCAATTATACACAGTTTTTTGGGGTTTTTTTGTGGTAGAAGAGACTTCCTACATTTCTTATGCCTTTTTTTACTAGCAATTTGTTTCTCACAAGGTCTGCTGCACATGTGTAGTACAAACTACACATGTCTGATG